AGGGTATGAAAAGGTTTTATCTTTGGCAAGTGCTTATGGTTGCATTTTCTTTGTTTCTGCCTTCTACCTAGTGCATTTTTAGAAATGCATTACATTTTGCAGTGCTGCATCTCCCCCTTATACCCAGCTCCTCTCTTTTTTGTTGACTATGTCATGGTTTGACTCCAGTTGACAACTAAGCCCCACACAGCTGCTCGCTCACTCCCTCTGCAGCGAGATGGGGGAAAGAATCAGAAGGGTAAAAGTGAGAAAACTTGTGGGTTGAGATAAAGACAGTTTAATAGGGAAAGCAAAAGCCACGCATGCAAAGCAAAGCGAGGAACTCATTCACTCCTTCCCATGGGCAGGCAGGTGTTCAGCCATCTCCAGGAAAGCAGGGCTCCATCATGCGTAACGGTTACTTGGGAAGACAAACGCCACCACTCCGAACGTCCCTCCCCTTCTTCTTCGCCCAGCCTTATATGCTGAGCATGACGTAGTATGGTATGGAATAGCCCATTGGCCAGCTGGGCCAGCCGTCCTGGCCACGCTCCCTCCCAGCCCCCCACGCACCTGGCAGGGCACGGGAAGATGAAAAGTCCTTGACTAGCATAAATATTACTTAGCAACAACTAAAACATCAGTGTGTTATCAACATTATTCTCATACTACATCCAAAACACAGCACTATACCAGTTAATAGGAAAAAAATCAACTCCATCCCAGCTGAAACCAGGACATTTACCTATTAAACTGTCTTTATCTCAACCCACAAGTTTTCTCACTTTTACCCTTCTGATTCTTTCCCCCATCTCGCTGCAGAGGGAGTGAGCGAGCAGCTGTGTGGGGCTTAGTTGTCAACTGGAGTCAAACCATGACATAGTCAACAAAAAAGAGAGGAGCTGGGTATAAGGGGGAGATGCAGCACTGCAAAATGTAATGCATTTCTAAAAATGCACTAGGTAGAAGGCAGAAACAAAGAAAATGCAACCATAAGCACTTGCCAAAGATAAAACCTTTTCATACCCTTTTCAGCTGGGGTGCACATCAATAGCACCTGAGCATCAGTACTTTCAAGAGGCACTTTTTAAGACTCAAATGCCACCACTTGTGCTGCAGATGGCCATGTTACTTATGGCTGAATGAAGTTCTGATAACTCATATTGCTTGGCTCTGAGTGGGATCAAAGACTCAACACACTTAAACACCAACTAAGGCAGATAGCTTGCAGAATGAAGCACTCAAAAGCCCACAGTAGCTGAAGCGCTCTGAAAATGTGGAGGCAGTAGAGAAGGTTTAAACAGCACTTCACAATGCATCTGTAAAAAGTGGAGTCAGCAAAATGAATATTGGCTGGGAAGTAGTCATCAATCTCCTTTTGGCAATATGTGGTTCCTCAGCATTCGATCTAACTGGGAAGAGATAACAACTATAAAACTCTCTTGCAGAAGTTTCAGAAGCAAGCTTGTAAAAATGTGACATGGACACCATGAGGATCTGAAAGATGGGAAACCTGATGAGATTTATGATTTGAGTGATATCTATCTTTAAATCACTGCAGCCTTTTTAACCTCTCCAATTCCAACAGCAAAGGTAAAATTAAGCATTACCACCACAAGCCAAAAAAACTAATTAGCAGCAAGCACAAGTAGGAGGGGTGACTGTGATCATAGGCCCCAAGAACACAAAAATTCATATATTCATAAGAACTCCTGATGCAAGTGTGGAACAAAGACTGCAGAGGGGTTTGATTCTCCTGAAGAAAAGTAACCTATCAAATGAGTTTCATAGAGGAAGAAAGGTCTTGGCAGGAGTCTCCTCAATTCTTGGGGTAAGTTTGTGGTTTTTAATGGAAAAGAAGACGAGAAATGTTGAGTGAAAGTTGTCTGACTAAATGTATATGTTGACATCTGACCTAAGTGTGAGGACTGTCTTTATGGCTATCAGAGACAAAGGACATTACGAAGGGTGAGTTTCATCTCATCCTGCAACAGTCACCTACAAAGTAGGTCAGAAGGATTATACCCTAAAAAGCCCTTGACTGTAGAGAGAACTGTGGTTGATGACTTCAGATGTAGACATTTACACTTCACTTGCCCAGAATTAGGTGATACAAATCACTCTCTCAATGTCAGCCCAACTCAGCCAGACCTTGAAGGCAAAGCATTTTAGAACAAGAGTCACAAGACATGGCAGTTGCCTTGTTGGAGGAAGGCAGCTCTTTTATGACACAATGGGATATCCAGAGGAATCATCAACTGGTTAGTGAAACCATTTCATGTAGGTCACCAAACAGCCTCTGTTTCAGGGTCTTAATTCTGTCTCCCAGCTTCAAATTCTGAAGCTGGAACAGAACAAGAACCAGCCTGAATAAATCTCCATCGTGCATTGGGGCTATTAAATGATAAAGGGGCTGCACTGACTAAACTAAACAGCTCTTTCTCATCAAATCAGTAAAGAGACTCAATCATAGGGGAGTTTTTCTTTCTGTCTCATTAATTCACTTTCTGTGAAGCCAATACCAATATATGCATTTCTCACATTTATTTTTCTCTGCTTGAGGCAATGGAAGAATGATCGAATGTAACAAGTTGATGCTATGAAGCCATTAAGTGTCCAACAGAAAGGAGGTAGAGCTATCGGGAAAGAAGTCTCTCATAGCCCCAGTGTTTGGGAGATTCATTGCATAAAATTAATTTATCTGATCTGTCTTTTTTTTTTTTTAGTGTCATGCTTAAAGCTCGTTTCCTTCATCAATGAGAAAAAGTCAACCGAGTAAATGCAAATCTTTCATACTGCATGATTGCTATTGATTTTCAAATGTACTAAGTAATGTAAACTCTTTTCCCATATGATCAAAGCCTTTTACTTCTCATATATAGTGATCTTGATTACCACTGGGGAGTGACCCTGTAACTTCTAGATCATGGAATATAGTCTTTATAGCTTTAGCAAAGGGAGTCAGTCCTTTAGCTTAAGGTTACAAAACAGTTCACATAATCTGTAGTTCAAGCACAGCCAAAGATATGCAATACATACTAAGAAGAGGTTACATGCAAATGTATAGACTGATGAACCTTCAAAGGTACTTTCCATTTTGCCTTTTCTAGCTCTGTACAGAAGATGATAACCTTGAATGCATTGAAATAACTTAAAGTTATTTTTTGGGGAAAAAAATATGCTTCAAATGGTTTTATATGGCATGGAATTTAAAGAACTAAGAACAGGTTAAATTGCTTATTTTTTAAAAATGCAGAACATCTTAAAATACATTGCCTTAATTATTTAAAAGTGCTCCAGTTGCTCAAACTAAGTCACTTTAATTTAGAAAGCCTGTTGAAATATGCATAGATTTAAAATTCAACAAACTTTTAAAATTGCTCGAAAAAGTCCTTCTCTTGACACCAATTCTTTCATTAATTAAAAACATTTTTCATTCCAATTGTTCTAAATGCAATTTGCAGCTAAGAATGCCCATGTCCCTTTGATTTCAAATAGTAAAGAGCCACAATAACTAAATAATTTTTATTTTTATTTTAGATCTTTGTTAAAAGAAATAATGCCAGAGGCTAAAGGCAGATCAGAAGCCTTGGACTCATGTCCTCTCCTTTACAAGAAACATACAGCACAGAGAGTATCAATGTGAGCTTCCTCATACTGGAAGCTCACATTGCTTTTTTTAACTCTGGTCTTCAGAGTTTATGATTTTATTTTTATTTTATTTTAACTCTGGTCTTCAAAACCCAGTCTCTGGAAATGAATTTCACAGGGTGGATTATTGAAGAAAGTTCTTGCTTTTCTTCAGTAGAACTAGCCTTTTTCCTAGCGTGTGAAGGGACTACTCTGATTATCTTCTTGGATAGCCAGAGGTTCAAGATCCTACCTCCCTGCAAAAACCCAGATCATTTCTGATCGAGCACAGAACACCTTTGGGGGGCTCATCCACTTTTGGCTTAAAGAACATTTATGAAGTGCAGTCAAGTTGCCTCTTATTCTTCTTTTGGATAAGCAAAAGGGACTTCTCTCCATACCCATTTAAAACAGGTTTTCTAGGTGTTGTTCTTGTGTTAAGAACACTTGTGAATTTTTCTTAGTGTTCCCTCCCGAAAATCCTCCAGCTTCTCAAAATCCTGTCTGTAGTGCTCACACTAGATCTAAACAATCCCACTAATGACTTTCCTGTTGCCTAAACCAAGGAAATTATATCTTCTGTATTTTCAAATAACATTATCTTGAGTTTGAATTAAAATTCAAATTAAACTAAGCATCGTATTAGGAGCTCGGATGTGTTACCACTGGAACAGATAGATATGTTTCTTTCAAAGTTGCTGATTTTTAGGATACAGCCCATTCCTCATATGCCTCTCTTCCTAGTGGGAACTGTATTCTTTTTTCCTCAAGGCATGACTGTCTTTGCATTAAAATTAAAATTTGAATATTTCTTGATTACAACCTGTATGTCAGACAAAACAGGTAACTCTGCATAAATAACTATTCTGCATTGCTACTTACTGCTAACATGATATGATGTGATCTATAAATGATGTTCTGACTATCAGCAAGGGTGAAAACTTTACCTTCCGGTTTTAAATACCAAGTATCGACTAAAAGGAATCAAACTCGTTAATTTAAAAATGGATACATTAGTAGCCTTCATTTAATTAACAACACTTCCCCTTTATTGACCAGCCACACTGAGAAACTCGATAAGGTTCCATGTAGAACTTACTATAAAACCATTAGAGTTAAATGGAAAAAAATCTAAAATTACAGTCCTTAAAAATAATAGTAAGTTCTAAAGACAATGGCAGAGTTACGGTCTCCTAGAATAGTAAAACTTCAATAGTTATGTGATATAGCTATCGCACATGAAAATTCATGCAATCATTTCTGCTCAAAACTTCATGTAATACAGATTGCTTGCTTGTGTAATCTTGAAAATAATCTACAGTGTTCCTCTGTAAACATTAAGTTGTTAGATGCCAAAAATTTGACAGTTGTAGGCACTGAAGATTACTCACCCTTGAAGGTCTCATTGCAGTATAAATTACTGAAAAATGAATCCCTCGTTCCTGCAGATCCATGGTCAGTCTTCCAATTATTTTGTCTATAGATAGAAACATGTATAATTTAACAAACTCTGTAAGCTGAGAAAGCTAAAGTCCTAGAGTAGTTGGAGAAGTAATGAGCTAGATGTTTAAGCTTATTTATTTAAGCAATTTAGGTGCTCATAACATTTATATGTCAATAGGTACAAACGGGATAAGACATGTTCAGTGTCTTGAAAAATGCACAATTGCAGTGAAACAATACAAACCAAACACATTACAACAGTTCAGAAAAGGGCTGGTTTTTAAACCGAAAAGTAAATACCGTAGAAACAATACCTGAAAGGTTGAACTCTGGGCAATTAAAAGCAAGAGCAGAAGAAATTTCTTAAGAGATGAGAGCAGGATGCATATACTGTTAGTCAAGTGACCAGTTAATAAATAAATAATAAAGCTTAAGTACTATTATTCTCCGAATTACAAAGTACACAGAACCAATCGCTGAGAAACAATACTCAAAACATAGTGCTTGGGGCATGATATGCATAATATTGGCAGCAATATTCCTTTTTGCTTCACTGGATTTAAAGCCTGATTCTGCACCCTCAACAGGATATGTAAAATTTTGCTGTTGACTACAGTGGATGCCAAAGGAGAAATATGGTGGCATATTTCTGGAAAAGGAAGGAAAAGTCAAGTAAGGAAGAGAGGACCCTTCAAAGAGGTCCAAAGACACCTCTACAGAAGATCCTCCTTTAGTTCTGAAACCACAGGCAGTTGTGACAAATACAACTGATAAATGTTTTCAAGCTGTATGCAGAAATGTTAACATCTGCTTATGATAAGGAGCCTAATAGTTGTGAATCAAGAACCATTATTAGTTCTGGGACTGATAGAGAAATAAGCAAGCAGACTCACATTTACTGTTTCAGTGCCTTCCCACTTCTCATTCATGTACCAGTCTGGTGAATGGATATTTTATAGCCTGGACATACAGGTTTTTCAGACTTCGAGGTTATACTTTACAGAAATTGTACTTAATTTTCATGTACTGGAAGTGGAGCTTATATTATTATCCTTTTAAATCTCTTCTATTTACAGTAATTATGGTCTCCTGGCTGAGTAAAATGTTTAGCTTTTGTAAAAATGCAAGCATTGGTTTTTCTGCAGGGTTTTAACCAAATTGATTTCCTCATATCAGTCAAGAATCATAGCTATGTAAATTTTCCTTCTAAAAAATTATTGCTAAAATGATCTACTATAAGAAACAGACTTACTCAGAAAAACAACTGCTTATATACTACTAGTGTAATTATATTGGTCCAAGGCATTACATAATGTAAATTTTGTATTCTATATGCACAGAGTGCAACTCACTAGAAATTCTGAGCAACCTCAGCTAAAATTTGCAGAAGGAAAAATAATACATAGAAAAATGCATAGAGTGTCTTTGTTTTTTCTTTCATTAAAGCAACTGGTTGCTTTCTGAAATAACACTTTACTTGCATTTCACTTCAGTAACGAGCTACATGTAACTATAGTTACCAGTAACATCTATAACTCTTGCTTTTGGGAAGATTCTAGAGGCAATTCCTTCATTCAGAGCAGCTGCTGTGAACACCCTTATAACAACAGAGTTGATACAGGTCTTTCTTTGCCTGTGATCAAAACTCTACCTTGCTTATTAAGTATTTATAAATTCTTCAAGGAAAAGCGCCCAGATTGTCCACCATATTCTAAAGCACCTAAATTACATGCCTACATGGGAACATTAGTCATCCTGGGCTCGCTCTTTAATGGAACAAGAGGCATCTCCAGATGGTGATATTGATGTTAGAGTGATTTTAGAGTGGTTCTACTGAAGTGTTTTTTTTTTTTAATTTCGACAGCATGGATTAAGAAAACACTACGTAGATCTATGAATGTAAAGCAGTTTGTCCAGGATAACACCTTCCGATTAGCATAACTGCCTGCATCTGTGCCCTGGTGGAAGGATTAAACCTCTCTAACTCATGGAAGACACATCCCTTGAATTTCACCAGGGAGTGCAGGATTAGTCCTATTACTAATTTCTAATCTACCTTAATTTCTTTGTGTGATTTTACACATGGATGGAAGGGATGGAAGAAATGAACTGAGAAGAAATGTTCTGGAAGGAGAAAAGTGAAAAGAAAGGAAGAGTAAACTATGAACAAGAGAGAAAGAACAGAAAAGAGCAAGATGAGAGGGGGAAAAATGGGAGAGAAGAGAAAGAATGGGAAGAGGAATGCACTGAGAATCAAAGTGGAAAAAGGAGTATACATGCAATAGCAACTAAAGAGCCTCATCTTATGCAAATGGAGTGATAGGCAGCTTTGCCATTGATTTTGAGATATGCTGGATCCAGCAGGTAAGACTGACATGAAAGAATGCAACCTTCTCCTGAGCAGAGAAAAGTTTAGGCAAAAACCGAGTAATAATGCTACCTCATGCAAAAGAAAGAAAGAAGAAATACTGAAAAGAAGCATAAAGAAAACAGTAAGTCTGAATCCCCTGAAACTTGAGCAGATTTGGATTCTGAATTCCAGTTTGGATTTCATAATGAGCCTCATTTTAATAACGTGCTAAAAACCTCTGCTTACTCCAGCTTCTAGATATTTCAGAACAGCACATTTCCCTTGGGCAGAATCTGAGCCCATTTGTTCTGTCTTGCAGAGCTTCCTGTCTGCAGTGAGTAAAACAGCAGGAGGGATTTCTCCGACATTTTATTACACCAGATTTTAAAACCCTCTACAGCAGAAAGGAAAGAAGTTGCTGTGACAAACATAAGAGGCTTTGTGAACTTTTAGGCAGCCTACTACAGGTCTGCAGTGTTTTTCTACGGGTTTACTGTTGATACTGCAAAAAAAAATTTACAAGCAGTATTTATGGGTTAACAATTCTCTTGTCATGTTGCAAGTATGTGACGAATACTATTTTTTGTTGCTTACACAGGTAGGATCTAGCAGCAGTCCCTCGGTAATAAACACCAGTAACTCATGACCTTGCACGCAGTTCTGACCTTGAAGAGTCTCCCGACAGCAGTATTTGGCAAACAACTGTGGTTGTGCTGCAAACAGCACCTAGACACCTAGACCTGCTGGAGCCCAGGTTGCTTGACTTGGAAGACTGTGTTTGGGACACTTATCTGCTCCTTTTGGAATGACTCTCTCCCTGCTGCAAGACCCTCAGTGGGATAATTTTAAGGAACTGTGGCTCAGTAACTTTCATTTGAATTAAAACAAAAAAGTTTTTATTCAGCAATGCATTGGGTGGCTGCTTCGGCAAATAAACCAGAAGGTGAGGATTCAGCCCACACTCCCACTTTTCTAGAGCACAGCTGAGACACAGAATACTAAGTGCAGATTTTGCACTTGGCCATACAAAGTGGCACATCTTCCCTGATTCACACACCTTTTTCATGGTAACAGCTAGTTGAGACTAACCGGAAAGTTGGTATAGCCTGTTCCTCCATCATCCCACAGGTCCCCCATTAACTTTGCTGTTCCAAAACAAAATGGCCTGAGACGGGCTTTGGGAAGCTTATTCTTGAGTTTCTGCAGCTGATGAAAAAAAGATCCCATAAAGAAAAAGCTGTTTAGCCAAGGCCAACATTAAGCCAAGGCTTTTGCTATCTAATATGCTCTGGGGGTAAGAAAAGACAACTAAACAACTCCTCTGCAATTCAGAGATGGAAATCCAGCTGCTTATTTGAGTATAAAAACCACACTCACTTTGGGGTAGTGCAAAAACAAAGAGAAAAGGGGACACCACTGATTTCAGTAGTAAGGTATTTTCCCCTGATTTTCAAATCTGCTTCTGATTTTACACCCCTAGCTCTGGGCAGAAACAGTCATAGACACTAAGGACAGTGTTCAATTATCAGCCCACTACACCACACTACACTACAATGTAGTCCCTGAAACTACCACTACAAGTGATTTGCAGACTTTGTAACTCAATCTCTAATTTAGAGTAGCAAGCAAAAGCCCTGCAAAAACCCAGATGCCTCTCAGTGCCTCTTTGGTGTGTGGCATCTCTTTTTCAGCCAGATGCTAGGCAAGAAAAGTTTTATAATAGTGTTATATGGAGAGATTCAACTTTAACAAATAGTCTTTAATACCTGCAAAACCAATAAAAGACTCTAAAATTAAAGGCTGTGAAGGGCATCAGTACTGTTCTACAAAGATCAGGAAAACATTTCCTATTCATTCAGACACCCTCTGTTGAGATCAAGACCTTCGAACTGCCGGATGGGCCTGACACCTCCAGCTGCCGGTGTGCGAGGTGAGATCCGAGGAGGCAGTCCGAGCTGCACGGAGATGCAGGGTTCGTACTCTGAACTGGGAGGATCTCAGAGCATGAGCAAAGGCCCGTGCCTGAAGCAGAGGTGAATTATCATTTCATTTCAGGTCACAGAGCTGTATCCATTTGGGTGAATTTTGAACCAGACAGTACTTCAGCACTATGATAATTGACGGCTTATAAGTACCATAGATGGGGGAAAAGAAAACCTTTAAATAGTAGTATTACAGCAAAACCCAGGAACTAGAGAATACAATCTGCTCAAGTGAAAACACTTAAAAGATGAAATGTTAGTTATACCTTGGTCATGTTGCTTACCATTTTCAGCAATTGCTTCCAGGGTGGAAATCTCATTTAAACCACTACAAAACAAGTGTGAGAAAAATAATTAAAAAACTTTTCTAGGCAAGAGCAATGTGAACCAGAAATGTACAAAGATACTGCCTAGTAAAAGGATTACTGTCAGCATCAGTCCCTCCATCATTCTCTCATCTCCTCCTTATGACCCTTTTCTTCTGCAAAGCCATTAATAGTACAAGGACCACATCTTCAGCTGATTCTTCAAACCCCTCAAATTTCCTTAGCTGCAGAGAAACCAGACTACTGATGTTATTTTGACCAATCTCTGCGTAGCTTTCTTTTCCTTTGGTGTGGGCCCCTTGTCTGATATTTGTACATAAGCTCCTTAAAATGGGTATCAGGTCTTTTTTTGTGTAGTGACATGATAGCTATAATTGCATTTCCTTAGGGCCCATTGATACATGCACTGTATACCAACATGTACAAATGCCCAAGTCACAGGCTAGGAAGAAGAAAGATCTGGAGAAGCTGAGCAGAGGGAATCAATATACCCATGCCTTATATTTTCTAAATATACATTCACCTGAAGGAACAGTCTCTGTCTACCTCCATTAGATCACAGTTGTCATAGGCCTGGAAACATGAAAAATTATAGCCCTCCTCTACCTTCTAGAGTGATGAAAACCAGTCTCTTTATTCATATTAACTTCAGGTTTCTCTGTATGTTTATTTGCTTGCGTATTTATCCTGCCAGTTTTTTTGACCCCTGGAATGCCTTCTAGCAATTAATTCTGCAGGTTAATCATGTGTTGCATAAAATAATTCAGCCTATCTGCTAGAAGTGTGTTGCCATTTAGTTTTATTAGTTGTCCCTTTGTTCTCATATAATGAGGCAGACAAAATAGGAATGCCTGACTGACTTTCTCAACATAATTCATCTGTTACACCTGGTAAGCTCATCAGGGGACTTTAAAAACCACCGAATTCACCCTTGCAAGAAACATAACTTTGCTAACCTTGTAAGCTTCCACTTTGCTTTTTAAATTTCCTGAATAGAAGTGACATTTTCAAAAGCTTTAAAAATCGTGCACACACGTGGGTCAGTTTTGTTTGTGACAAGCTCCTACCTGACAAGTGGTTGTAGCTGAACCACCAGTAAGTTTGGTTTAGGTGTATTCACTTCCAACTGAGAGACATCGAGATTAGTTATGTTTGTTAACTTCCAATCTCCTGACTCCTGAAGAAAGCTCAGAAGATACCTGGTAGCCTCGCAGTCAACAGCTGGCAAAACTAAAGATGAAGAAGACGACTGAAGAATTTCCTGTAATAAATTTATGAACAGTTTATTTACTTGCTTAATAATGAAACACAAACCTTTTTTTTATGTATCCTTAATTTAATATTCAAGATGAGGAACCACCATGTTAAACAGTACATGAGTTCTCACCAGCCTGATGCTGGCTGCAGGCTGCTTCTGAAAAGGGGCAGTGAAGGGACACTTGTGTTGCTCTTATTCCTGCACCTTCTTGGGGCAAGCTTAAGGCACTCAGTGACATCACATTCTTACTGTCCTTTCCACACGTCTGGTGGAAGAGGAGAGACAGATGATGTAGAAGTTCTCAAGCTAAGAATGTATTGGAGAGACAGGTTATGAACGCTGCCAGAAGCAAAGCTCATCATACGGTCTAACTAAATGCCCTCAGAGGTGAGAAGAATCAATGTCAGACATCTCAAGTTCCAGCAGCTCTATCCAGTACAGAGTCATACTTTGCAAAATAAATACTCTTCCTTTGTCTACATCCTGGTGGTACAGCACACGATACAGACAAGTGTCTAATTTGTAACTATTAATTAAAGCAAGCTACATGTTTCAGGATCTACAGAGCCTCCAGTCACACACAAACAAACTTCATGCCATGTACTTTCTGTCTTTCTACTCAAAATACAAATTATAAAGCTCAGGCTGACCTGGTTCAGATAATCAAGCCTCAGGGTATCTATCACTTTATTTATAATTCTCATAGCTGAGTTTCTGATGAAAACACTTGAGTGAAATGCATTTAAAAACATTCTCGTTCTATGAATTTGAAACCTGCATAGTCGAAAAACTTCCTTTCCAGAGGTTTTTCATGATAATAAAATTAACTTGAAATATGCAGGGAAAGAAAATGCAAGATGGAGACTTGAGAATGGTCAAAATTAATGTACCCCAAATTTAATGTGGATATTTGAAGATATTTTTTCATTGAGTCCTAGTTTACAACTTGTTAACTTTGCTTCCCCATTTTCTAAATTTAAGCCTAGATTGAGTCTGTCACTTGATCCAACATTCAGATATTCAAGTCGTTATAGACTCTCTTTCCCCCTCTGTCTGATGCAAGTGTTGTAGCATTGCTAATACTTTTCTCCTCCTACTCTTTTTCCTTTTTGTCTGTTCTCTGTCTGCCTACCACTTTTCTGACTTGCTCTAGTTCTTTCTAATTGCTCACATGTTTTCCTTCCTAGGCAAAGGCTAGTTATTTTCACATTTCTGTAGATGCTCAGAAGGAAGGATTATGCAGTATTGTCTGATTTGCCAGACTGATAGAAAAATAACTGCAGAAATTAAAATAAAGCAGAAAGCACTGATCTGGTTCACAGGTCCTTAAGTAGCATTTTTAGCAGTGCCTGGAAGGAAGGGATGATACATTTCATTTTGGTTTGTTTGCATATATGAAATTAGAGCTAAAATTCTGAGCAATAGTAAATTTTTTATTTTCAATATTTTAATCCCTTGTCCCCTAGCGGCAGCCAGAACGGCAGCAGCCACTT